ATATTATATACCATATACCTCAAACATAGTATATACCATATACCTCAAATATATTATATACCATATACCTCAAACATAGTATATACCATATACCTCAAACATAATATATATTATATACCTCAAACATAGTATATACCATAGAGCATTGAAGTAATGGAGTTCTTTATTGATCTTCTTGACCTTGGCAGATATAACAGAGACAATTCATGTTCAGTCTGGGCCCAAAGCTTTACAAGGGGCCCTGATATATAATGCAGTCTATCACCAGCATTAACACAGCAGTATTTCTTTATTTGATTGGGTTTTTTTTAATTGAGAGCCCCTAATACCCGAAGCAGGACATGCCACCCCTGCCCCTGCTGCACTGGTGATGGGTCATGTGAGGACAGTGGAACTGTATGTCAGAGTCATGGTGAGACCTCCTAGGCAGCCAGCAGTCTTTGAAGTGACCTCTCCTCCCCAGAACTGGGACTGCTTCTGTATCAGTGTGGCAGGTGAGCATCCGGAGGCTGGTAGTCATAGTATATGGAGGTGAGGGGGCCACAAGGGAGAGACTTGCTATAATACTCTGCACTGGAAGGAAAGATGATATAAAAAAAGTTCAAAGTAATCTGTGATTCTGCTCCTGTCTGTGTATAGTGTTGAAGTAAAGCTTGTTGTTTGCCTGCAGTATCATCTCACTTATTATTTATCAACCGGCACTCCCGCAGGATGCAACTTCCGAATTCTTCACTTTCTTAATTGTTTATTGTTATTCACATAGAACTCTTCCCAACAACCCCTTCACAGCTCCAGCACCATCTCCACACACCTAATGTGTCAGGGCCTGTGCCAGCAGGGGATGAGAAGCAGGACCCCTACCCATCCAATGCCATGTGGGAATACCCAACCTGTAGACCAGGCGTCCTTAACCAGGAATTCGTGGAACCCTAGGAAACCTCCGGAGGCTGCCAGGGGTTCCATGAGCAGTAAGCAATGACAGACTGATCTCCCAGCCACAATGACTACCGATGTATGGGGGCAATTTCCCACTGACATGCAAAGTAAGGGGTCACCTCTACACTGATCACCAGTACAAGGGGGCTTTTCCCCACTGGCCACAAAGGGATATTTCCCCAACGTTTCCATTCACTAATGTGAGGGGATGTTACAATTTTGCACACTCTGTGTTTCTTTTCTGGCCATTATTATTCAATTTCATGATTTTATTGTTGTATAGAGCAAGGGGAAGATGTAAAATAACTGGCTCTGGGTGTCAAATATTCAGATTTGCCATATTCTTTATTTTTGAAAACTTTTTAACAGCTTACTGACAGTGCTCCTATGTACAGTACTATTTATCATTATTAGCACGGGTTCCCTGAGACTCCAGAGTCATTTTGAGGGTCCCTCCGGGGTAAGAAGGTCTGGACTAACAGCGTCACAATGAAGGTGAGGTGTCTCTGTTACCTGGATGGTGCTC